CAAAGTGCGAAAAGCATGGCAGGGTCCATACTTTAGCATTGTTGAACATGGCGTCCCCGTTGTGATGATTTGTGCACCAAATTCCAATAAACTCGATGTTTCTGCGTGGCCGAGTTTCTTGATGTTGACAGGGATGTGCAGCGGCAAGACGGGATGGAGGCTTAAGGCAATGTTGCACAATGCGTTCTTTCACCCCAGCTTCGAACAATGTTGGAAAAGCATGGCTGGGCCGCTACTTTCGCGTGTTAGCATTGCTCAACATGGCGTTGCCGTTATGATGATATGCGCAGCAACAACAGCAAAAACAAAGCAACGACGTTTTTGCGCGGAAACTTTTGTTCATAAATCGTTTGGGCATGCATGCACTGGCCAATGGATGGGTTGGTAGCCTGGATGTTATCATGGTTTGGGCATGGAAGCACTGGCCCATGGATGGGTTGGTAGCATGGACGTTATCATGGTTTGGGCATGGATGCGCTGGCCAATGGATGGGTTGGCAGCATGCGCCATGACATGCAGACCTGAGCGACAGAGAAAGCGGGCAAACGAGGGCGATCGACCCTGCTGCTGCTGCTGCTGCTACTACTACTACTACTACTACACCCACCACGACGACGACGACTACTACTACTCCTGCTGCTCCTCCTCGCCCTCCTCCGCCTCGTCCGGCCACGACGACCACTTCCACTTCAATGCTTTCTTTTTGATTTACGAATGTACTAACTTCTGCTGCTTTACCGCCACCAGTTGTCTTCTGCTTCGTCTTCTTCTTCGTTTTTTCTTCTCGATGTGCAGGGCAGAGTATGTGAGATCACCCCCGAAAGAACGTGCTGCACGTGTGAATCTCCAACCCTTGGTGGGAGCTTCAAGCGATCCCAGACAGAGGCTTGCCGCTGCCAGGACCTGCACCGTTGGAAGACCGAGCTCCACCTGAAGCCCAGACCCGAGATTTTCATCTTCAGGGCCTTGCACCAAGGGTCTTCGGAGGCCTTAGTAAGGGGTCTCAGGGAGGCTTTGGGAGGGGGGGTGTTTTGGAATCGGGCCTTGGTACTGAAGGTTGGAAGACGTGCCTGTGAACATCTTCAGCCTAATCGATGGCGCCTTCACTTTTCATCGAGGTTTAATAGAACTGATGCTCAATGGCAGTTGCAAGTTGAAGCCCTCGTTGTGGACTCTGGACAAGCAAAGCGGAGCCAGTTTCCGCTAAGGCCTGCTTTCAGGAAAGGGCATGCTCCCAGCTTCGAAGACATAGCCTAAATTTTCAGCCCCATGCCCAGAACCTCAAGTCAAAGCCAGTTCCAAGCAGCATGGCTTGGAGCTGCGAATGCCTTGATCTTCATCATTGACCTCGCTACACCATCACCATGCTGAGTACAAATGCAATATATATATATGTATATATACACACACAGAGCATGTGCTTTGTAGGTCTCGGGTATCCCAAGTCTGTTATTGCTTTCCTTTCGCGGACCCATCGCGAATCTTTCGCCGACACACGGCTGTGATCTAGAAACCGTCTTGAATAGCAATCCGAAGACAAGGAACTTTGGATCAATGCTCTGACTCACACACACACATACATATATATATATATGTATATATACACACATATTATATATATTGTGTGTATATGTCGTTTTAACCTACTCAATCCCCAAATCCGAAATCCCAGGTCTTGAGTCTAAAACTCCCTACTAGTAAGGCTGGAGCGGATCCACGAGCTCGATCGCCAGCGGGAGAAGTATGCCACCGACCTCCAGCAGGCCAAGATGGTGTACTTTCGGGTTTAGGGTTTAGAGTTCTCGGATGTAGGACAACACAGGATGAGGAAATACCAGAAGTTGATTAATTACGGCGAATTTGTTTCACAACGGGACGTTTAGTTTCTGGGGGTAGGGGGCGACTTGCTTGTGGTGTAGCCTTCGGGTTTGGGGCTGCCGGTTTCGGGTTTCATGCAGGCTGTCGCTTTAAGTTTCCTCGTGGTACTTTCTCTCTCTATATATATATATATACATATATACATACATATGTATGTATGTATGTATGTATGTATGTATACACATATATATATACACACACACACTATGATTATTATTCTGATGATTATTATTATTGTTATTATTATTGTGGAATTAGGTCCCCAAAGCCATAGTAGCGATGATGCTCCACCAAAGCCAGGCGAAACAGCGCTGCGAGGCAGCTCAAGAAGAGCTCCGAGGTGCCAGTCGTCAGCTTTGGAAGTTTCGGGCTTTGGAGGCTACTGTGCTTTTCGCATCTCCGGTTTCGAAGCTCTGTTTCAAGTTTCACGCGGGCAGAGAAAGGCCACAGTCACAATTTCAGGACTACAGTTGCAAGTTGGTCTTTAGTTTGAGATCCGCGTTCCGACGCAAGACCTTCCGCTGCAGGCCGTGAGGTCCAGATGGCGCAGCTCAAGCGATCCATTGCTGATGTCCGGGCCAAGTGGGCGCAGCAAAAGAATCTTTACGAGGACGCTACGCGACCGGTCGTGCCCAGAGATATATATATATATATGTGTGTATATAGATATATATATATATATTGCTGCAGTTTCCCACTTTCTAAGCTGCTCCATTGATGGGCCTGGCAGGCAGTGCGCACGGACAAGAACCTCTACTCAAAGAACTTAGTGGAGTCCCTGGAAGAAATCAGCGAGATGAGGAAGAAGTTCAAGGCCCGGGCATGCCTCTTTAGGGGCCCAGCGAGTCGTGCTCCGCTTTGTCAATCATGGAGCACTTCGCCGGGCCGTGGAGGTCATGTGCCACCAGATTGAGCAGCTCAAGGAGGAGATCAAAGAGAAGGCTCGGTCGTTCCCTCCATGACGGCATTTCTGCCCCACAAGCTGTCAGGGAAAGTGCCCGAAGTAGCGGTATCGGCAGAAGTGAGAGCCCGAATCAAAAAGCCTGCGTGAGAGCCGTTCCTGTGCATGCAGTTTGCCCATCGAAGCCACACAGACTTAAAGAGTGGATGTGACGGAAAGACTGAGAACCGCAAGATCCGCTGTTGGCAGGTAGCAGAGACCGTAGCTATCAGCTATCCTTCTGCCAGTCACTGCTAAACCCGAAGCTGGGCGGAGGATGTGGCCATGATCGCAGAGCACTTCAAGCACCAGAACATCAGCAAGGAGACCTTGAAACCAGTGCCTCGATTCTTGCGCACAAGTCCTACTTCCGGCCCTCCAGGGCCGGAGCTTCGGCACCGGCCCTAAAACGCGAGAAGTCTGAGAGGAGACGGAGAAGACCAAGCACACGCTGGAGTTCCACGAGAAGCAGCAGACCAAGTCCCAGCAGGCCCTGGCCTTCAGTCCCATAGTTTTCCCAAGAGCACCCTTTTAAAAAGAGGCCCAAAGCCCCTAAACCCTACAAACCCCACGAAGAGGCTCAAGGGCCTTACTTTAGCATTCGGGGCTAGGGAAGGTCTGAGGTCGATCGAGAGCCTAGGCACATCAAGGGGCCTTAAGAAGGCCTTCGGCTTTGTTTTGCGCTCATGCCTGCGTGCGCAGGTCGTGGAGCAGCAGCTCTCCGACATCAAAAAGCTGGAGGCAGGTGTTGCGGGTTTCCCGCTTACAGTAGAAGTGCTCCACGCGCCAAAGACAAGAGAGTACAAGAGCTTGACAGGCAAATCAGAAGCAACAGCAACAGCGCAACCACACAGCAGTGGCAAGTTTGAGGTGGATCACAAGTGCACTTTCTGGACATGTGGCAGTCGTCTTCGCCCCTCCTCCTCCTCCTCCTCCGTATCATCATCCTCATCCTTATCCTCCTCGCCCTCCTCTTCCTTCTCCTCCTGCTCGTCTTCCTCCTCTGCCTCCTCCTCCTCCTGCCGTCATCGCCATCGACATCGACATCATCATCATCATGACAGCTACCACCACCGACATCCCATCACCATTGCCATCATCAGCAGAGTTATCATCGTTGCTCTTCTCCTCCTCCTCGCCCCACCCTCATCAACAACATTACATTCATTATGGCCGCAGCAGAAGCCTTAAATATTGCCCCCAATCAAGAATTGGCTTCACGGGGGGCAAGCAACCGCCTCTTAGAGGGAGCGGGTTTGTGGTCAGCCTGGTCAGCCTGGTCGTTGCCATCATAACTCTGAGCACGGTTTGGAGAGGCCACCATCCAGGAGGCTGAGACGGAGCGGCAGCACCAGCGAAAGGAGTTTGAGGCCTGTGATGTTGTCCGATGCTGTAACTTTGGGATTGGATCGGTGAGAAAAGTGTCCGTCTGCGCTGAGAGGATGTGTTTTCTGTGGGCTTTGCGCTCGCAGGTGGAAGCGCATCCAATGTTAGTAGCACAGGGATGAACCATTCGAGACATAGTTGCAAGCAGAACACGGAAACATGGAGATACATGCACGATGATTAATTCTGCGGATTCTATATCGAGTGCGTAACTCAATCGGTAAGCGGGGCGCTGCAGGGTAGCCCCAGACCTAGTCGTGTAGTTTCTGTAGTGTTATGTGGTCAAGAGTCATATTGCAATGTGCGCCATATTGCAACGTGAAGCATGCAACTGTGAAGTATCTATGGTAACATATCTCTAGCACACAGTGGGAACCGCGCAGACTCGGCCCAACAGGCTGTTACCTCCGAGCGCAACATCCTGGGCAAGCAGCTCATCCGACGAAACGAGGAGCTCTCGCTGATCTACGAGAAGATCAAGATCCAGGAGAGAACTCGACCTCAGCAGTTTTTAGGTCACGGCCCGTTTCCAGTTAGAGTCTCAACCCTAAACCTTACACCCCTAAACCCTAAACCCTGAACCCAACCTTGTTTTTGTCACCCTCTACCTTAGACCTTCGTAGCGAGAATGAGTCAGCCTGCGGCCTGCAGCCTCAAACTCCTCACGTTTCACGGCCCTGGACAAGTACTGAACTCGACGAACCGCCACTACAAGATCCTGCTGACGTATAGTATGCTGAGCACTAGCTTAAATGCGCATATGCATGCGGGCCAATCTGAAAACACACTGCGCGAGATTTACTACAGCATGCACGCAATCTGTCCTACAATCTAGGACACTACAAGCTGCACAACATGCATGAATAAGCTACCTATTGAAACCGTCTCCTGGCCGACGAGGAGAGCACTTTGGGCAAGGGTGAGGCGGGGCGGGGCGATGCGGCTCCGAACGCCTGTAGTAGGGTTCTCTGTTGCAGATGTGGAGCGTTGGAGCTCAAAAGGTTTGTTTGGCTTAGGGCTTTGGCTTTAGGGTTTGGGAGGTTATACGAGTCGCTGCTTGTTGTGGCTGTCGTAGGCCCAGTACAAGAAGCTTCTGGAGAGCCTCCGCGGACAGCGCAGCAGCATTGCGACGCTGGGGTCTCAGAACCTTTTGCTGCGAGTCAAGCTTAGAGCACTTTGTGCACGGCTGTCAGTGGTGCTTCATCATCCTGACCTCTCAGGCCGCAGTATTTTCTCTTAATTACAGATGCACACTGCAAAGGCTCAAGCGTGACCTCTTCATTGCCCAACAGCAGGCAGGTCCGATGTCTTCAAGCCGCCGAATTCCAAGACCTTTAGGGTGCTGCGCAGAGCCCGAACTTACTGTCGCGATGCGCAATAGAAAGATAGTCTATGTCAGTCTTTGTTACTGATGCATCAAGTGGACCAGTAGTTCACGCGAAATTTCTAACCGCTGGCTGTGGCGGCCTCATGGATTCCTGTGGCTGCAAGTACCTAGCATCGACATCGCTCTTGCCTATTGTGGTGTTCGCAGTGCACAATTGCGTAGTGACGGCGTCTGTCGTCTCGATATAATTGCAGTATACTCGTATCTGCTATCAGCCAGAGAAGAGGAAGCTGGGGAGGCATTTCGCTGTACCGGGTGATGCACGCCGCTCAACGCACTCTGCGACCTGCTACAGAGTCTTATTATCACACCCAACACTCAGAAAGCCTTTTCATCAATCTCTCTCCGCCCAGGACCTAAACCCCGAACCGTAAACCTCACAAGGACCAAGCACTCAACTAAACTCGCAGCCCCAACCTTGAAGCGAGCACCCGAATCCTCAACCCTAAACCCTGCCCGAAATCTAACCTTAAGCCCAGAACCAGACACCGACGCCCGAGTACGCGGACTAAAATCCGAAAGCCCAAGCCTTCAACGACAGCAGGATTCAGATTCTGGTAGTGAAAGTGGCAGTGGTAGTAGACGCAGTAGTAGTAGTCATCGTCGTAGTCGTCGTCGTCGTCGTCATGTAGTAGTAGTGGTGGTAGTGGTAGTGGTGGTAGTAGTAGTGGTAGTAGTGGTAGTAGTTGTGGTGGTGGTAGTAGTAGCAGTAGTAGTAGTAGTAGTAGTAGTAGTAGTAGTAGAGTAGTAGTAGTAGTAGTAGTAGTAGTAGTAGTAGAGCAGAGTAGTAGTAGTAGTAGCAGTAGTAGTAGTAGTAGTAGTAGTAGTAGTAGTAGTATGCGGTCAGAAGACAGGCCGAGAGCGCTTCCGGCTTGGAGAAGGCAGCTGGAAAGGGCTTGATTCTTTTTCGGAGAGGGGGGGGGTTTGTCAGTGTGTTGGAAGGCTTTTATCTGCGATTTCTCAGGGTTGTTTGAAGAGGCCGTGGGGGTTGAAGGATTCCTCGGCTGGGGCTCCCAATGAAATTGTAACCTGCGACGAGAAGGGTTCTGGATGCTATGGGATCCGTAGATCCTAAACCGAAACCGCCCTGAATTGCTAAGCCACAAACCTATTCCAAGCTCTACGGGGATGTTGTATTTTAATTTGCTTTCGGGACATCGAACACGTGTCAGCATTGTGTCAGCCTTATGGGTGAGTCTGAGGTTCCCTAAAGCCATAAATTGTCATACCTAAAGCAAGACTCACTAAACTCCGATTGTCCGAATCCCAAACGGGCACCCGCAGAACATCAACTCGAGCCCAAGAAACACAAACGTTGATCCTTTCTCGCCCTCTCCTCTGTCTCTCTCTCTCTCTCTCTCTCTCTCTCTCTCTCTGACTCTCGCTCTCGCTTTCTGTCTACCTTTCTGCAGGAAGTCTACCACCTCCAGAGGGAGCTTCTGCAAGAGCGGACGAAGGCTTTCGGCAGGGACTCGGGGTTCAGGGCGAGGGGGGCCGCCTTGCGGATGGCAAGTGGTGAAAGAAGTGCGATATACACGAACTGCGACTATCCGTGTTGATTGGTCTGCTGTAGAAAATCTGTGTGCGGTCTGCTTGCAGGTTCGAGCTCTTTCAGAAGAGCTCGAGAATCCGATGACACTTGGGCCTCACTGCCTTGAAGCCTTTTCCGTTTCGGAACGCGTAGGGCGGCGATCTCTGTGTGTTGATTTCTGTATGCTCATGAGCTCAGGAACGTCCATCGCTGGAGAAAGCTCGAGGGATCTGATCCGGCCATCTATGCATCTTGGCGACCTTATCTTGCTGCGGAGTGTCGTAATTATGGCGTCTGTCAGTTACGGCATAAACTGCTGTCTGGCTACACTAGAACCGTGATTTTCTGGGCACTGAGGTGTACCACAGGATGCAAGTATCACCAAGCAGTAGAATATCCGCTGAAGCAGTCATATAGACAAAGCCGCCAGCAAACAGAGGCTGCAGGTTCGTCTGTATGGATTTATGCTGTATGTAAATGTGTGTGTGTGTGTGTGCATGTGTTACTGTGTGTGTGTGTGTCTGTGCGTGTATGTATGCAGTGTAGCGTATGTATTACATATGTCTGTACACATAAGCACATGCGTTTGTGCCCACGCCTGTGTAGTGTATGTGCGTATTGCCAGGTCCACATTTGTCGATGCTTCTTGTTTGTACATGAAGCCGCGTTCGACTGAACTTCCAATGTTCGTGCTGGAATTCTGTGCCAGGAGCTCATCCAGAAAGCCGCTTGCTTGCAGATGGAGAAGTGTACGGGCTCAGGGAGATGTGACACCAATGAGAGGAAGCAGCAGAGCAGCAGAGGGCCAGGGCTTCTTTCTCTGTTGTGTCTGCAGGCATTGTCTTACAATAAACTCTAGTGCACTAGAATACCAGACTCTCACATACCAGTAACATACCAGATGAATAGTATCCTATGATGTTCGGTATCACACGATGCGGCAGTACATTATGAAATACTTGACATACAAAAGAGCATACCCGAGTAAAAGGGAACCTTACGAGCTCCAATATCTTATGATATATTATCCTAAACCCTAAACCCTAAACCCCTAAACCCCTAAGCCCCTAAACCCCCAAACCCTAAACCCTGCCCCCCTGAACCCTAAAACCCAAAACCCTAAAACCCTGAACCCTAAAACCCCAAACCCTAAACCCTGAACCCTAAATCCGAAATCCTACATACCTAAACCCCTAAACCTTTTTCCCAAAACCAAAACCCTAAATCCTAAATCCCTAAATCCTAAACCCCGAAACCCCTAAACCCCTCAATCCCTAAACCCCTGAATGCTATGGGAATTGGGAGCCTTAGGAGCTTGGGCCCAGGTGCGAACCTTGCAGAAGCGACTCATCGCCGCGTCCTGAAAGAAGGTTCGGGGCAGGTGGAGCTCTGTTTCTTTTGGGGTTTCTTATGGGTTTAGGGGTTTAGGGTTTAGGGGGTTTAGGGTTTTAGGGGTTTTAAGGGGTTTAGGGGGTTGTAGGGGTTTTAGGGGTTTTAGGAGTTTAGGGGTTTAGAGTTTAGGGTTCAGGGTTTTAGGGTTCAGGGTTTTAGGGTTCAGGGTTTTAAGGTTAAGGGTTTTAGGGTTTAGGGTTCAGGGTTTTAGGGTTTAAGGTATCGGGTTTTAGGGTTTGGGGTTTTAGGGTTAAGGGTTCAGGGTTTTAGGGTTTAAGGTATCGGGTTTTAGGGTTTGGGGTTTTAGGGTTTAGGGTTTAGGGTTTTAGGGTTCAGGGTTTTAGGGTTTAGGGGTTTAGAGTCTACGGGTTAGGGTGTAGCTCTTGGGTGTCTACGCTTTCGGGCTGGTTGTCGTGGAATCCACGGCTTAGGGTTTAGGATTTCGGAGCTTCAGTCCAAGGAGTAATCGGTGTTTCACTCCAAGCGGCGTGAAAGTTTCTAGATCCCTCGAGCTTGGGCCAGGGTTTGACTATGGGAAGGGCCCTTCTCCAAGCCTGGACCGAAGTCGTCCGAGTTCGGCTGGCAATCTTTGGACATCACGGTTTTCTTCTACTGGAGCGGCACCTCGAATCCCAAGCCGCAAACCCAAGTAGCTCATTCGCCGCGCGGATGGCTGAGGCCAAAACCGAGGAGGTCGTCGCAAAGGATGTCGAGATCCAGGAGAAGGAAAAGCTCCACAAGGACCCCTTCTGCCACCTGTCTGTCTGTCCGTCCCTCCGTCTGACTGTCTGCGTTTGTTAGATGTTTGCACATGCTTATCATAACACGTATCGGCATGATTCATGATGATATGCACGACGCAATTGCCTGGCACGGTCGACATGTCCCTGCCTACCTAAACCGAGTATGATGTGCCTCGCTGTCCTGCATCATTCGTAAACTATACTCTCACGTAATGGGCTGCAGCAAAAACAATACCACAAGCCAGTTCATATTGCCATCTGGGACACCCACCTACGCCCCTGTATTGTGCAGTGCGAACAACATGCTGCAATCTATTTCAGGAGCTGACTTCCATCCTGGAGAAGCAGCCCGGGCCTGAAGTGCTGGAGCAGTTGGAGCAGTACCAGGAGCGGCAGCGTTGAGAAGTTTGGGGTTGGCGCGGGTTGTCGATGGCTTCGGGGGTTTGGAGTCGTTGCACCGGCACAGAGCGGCTGTAGGCGTGGGGTACGTCATCTCCCTACGGGGTGGACTGAAGCGTCGAGGTCCAGGGATTGGGATTGAATCTCGGCTGTTTAGGGTTCATTGGTGTTTGGCACTGAACATGAGCCCAAAATTCTTCGACCCTCGACCGATGCAGGCGGACTATTGATCTGTAACGGGTGTCTTGCAGTATGTGGGTCCTGAGAGATCGTATACTATGTTTGTCCGAAACCGTCACACAAAGTGTGCTCTTGCAGCAGGAGACGTACAATGCTAAGCTCAAGCAGATGAAGGCCATGCAGAGCGAGCTCCACACCTATCAGTCTCAGGCAGGATTGAAAAAGACACAACACATTGCTTGTGCATCCAAAGGTAGTAGATCCAGGATCTCGGGTCAGCACGTCGGGCTGTAAGTCAAACTGCTGCTAATGAATACCCGAGTTCGGGCGCAGTGTCGGCCCCCTACACCCTTATGGGAAAGAAGCGGCGAGCCGACAGAACCCTCAAACGGGACAGAATACCCTACGGTGCCTAGATCCAAAACTCTGGCGGCCCTATCCTTGAAAGCTAAGGGCAAAACACCAAAGGCTCCATGACCAAAGGGGCTTGAGTCGTTCTTCAGGAATTCGAAGAGGGTTTTGGGGTATCTGTGAGTTTATACTTCTGTGAAGCAACCCCAGGGAAGAGTATTACAAAATGTCCAGGCTCCCATAAACCTTAAACCCTTAAAGCCAATGTAAAGCCAGAACTCCTAAAGCCCTAAACCTTCAAATACTTCAAATAAGCCTTCCATGCAGGTCTCCGACTACAAGGACGAGATCGATAGGCTGAATCGGGAGCTCTCTGAGGTCAAGAAGCCCCTCGGACTTACTTGGGGTTTAGGGTTTGGGGTTTGGGGGTTAGGATTTAGGGGTTTAAGGTTTAGGTTTTTACGATTTTGGGTTTAGGTTTTTGCAGTGTCTCGGCGTCGAGTGACCGTTGGGGTCAAGGGTGGGCGCAAGGAGCTCGAGTGCTTTAGGGTTCAGGGGTTTAGGTCCCTTTTTGGTGCCGGGTTCTGCATCGCCCAGCCTGAAATTGCAGCAGACCGGAGCAGATGGTCACTGCGTCCAGACAGGATCTGGAAGAAGATTGTGCAATCTGAACCTAAAGCCCCAAAAGCCCAGCTGCTCGCCCCAAACCCGGACCCAGCAAGTACTGTCTCTGGGCTTCTTTTGTGAGTGGCTTCTTCCAGGAAGTTCTTCGAGCAGAAGAAGCGGGAAATGATGCAGCAGGCCGTTGAAAAAGGGCACCGATTTGGGCACATCTGGGGATTCTTAATTATTGGAAGTTAGACGTACTTTCTTCTTTTAGGGGTTTTCGGGAACTCTAACATCCGATACGTAAACACCACATCTTGTGCAACACATCTTAACGATGGTCTCTGGGGTACGAGAGGGCGCGGAGCAGGTCGTCACAGGCTGCTAGGCATGCTTCAGTCACACGAAGAGTACCACCGAAGCAGCGGTACGATTGCTCCAACTTCTACCAGGAGTCCCAGCGTGGTGATGGCCGCGTCATCCATCCACGGCCAGTTCCCCAGGCCAGGCGGAGGAGTGCAATTCAGGGTTCCCTATTGCAACTATTTTCAGCGAGTGCTTGCATCTTCAGATTTAAATTGAAAGGCCAGTAGCATGGATTGTCATTGCTAACTCGGGAACAAAGGGTGGAGGACAAGTCCAGGGCGACCACATATGGTTTGTCTGTCATATGTTCTGCGCGACGCACTCTTCATCTGTCTGATGCAGTCTATTGATAGGAAGTCCCCAGAGACTCTGACACCATCGTGCCAGGCTCGCTACATGGGCGGCTTGTTCAGCCTGTCCCACTGAAGGCGGGAAAGGGATGCTCCGATGTTCCACACAAAGGCTGAAGGGAGCCCTTCAGACTTGCCGGGCCATCTTTGATGGGATCCTGAGTCTTCGATGCCATGAGGAGGAGGCATCTTGGCATGTGGTTTCAGCGTTTGGGGCTGGGCCGGCTAGGCCAACGCAAGCAAAGCCTGGACTCTGAAGCTTCAACTCGGAGCCCTAAAGCCTTAAATCCCAGATGGAATTCTTGTAGAGGGCTTCCCCTTATTAGAACCCTTGAGCCCCAAGTCCCCCTAATTCGTGAATTGAGTCCTCATACAACCTCAGCTGTGGGCCTGAACCCAAGAAGTTAGCAGCTAGGTGTCTCACCCGAACAGCCCCCGTCGAGAACACCATCATGAGCATCAGCGGCATGCCGCCTCCACACAAACGCTTGGCAGCATGTCGCAACCAGGGATCTCCCGGACCGACCCGATCAACAACAGCATTATGAGCATCAGTTGCAGGCCGCCTAACAATTAGCAGTGTGTGTCACCAAATCGACAGCAGCATCATGCGCATCAGCGGCCGGCGGCTGAGCCCATCTAGTAACAAACAGTTTGCAGTCGGGGGTCACCCGAACCTGCCCGATCGACAGCAGCATCGTGAGAATCACGGGTGGGCCGTCGTAATTCTTTCCAACCGCAAGCAGTTGGCAGTTAGGGGCACCCGAACCCACGCGATCGAGAAGAGCATCATGAGCATCACCGGCGGGCCCGCCTTAGGACCTGTCGGACTTGTTGTGATCCCCGTTTCAAGGTTTGACAGATACCCAGCTCTTTGGTTTCCCTCCGTGGCACCTACGCATCACAAGCACAGACAGTCGCGAAGAGAGATCGCGTTTGGGCACAAGGGTAGCAGAAAGCGGTCTCGCCTGAGCAGACATGGAAGCAGGCGCCCACAGCTTCGACAAATCTGTCACCGAGGCAGGAGTAGGTTTCACCTTCTCAGCATGCGGGGAAGAGTTCTGACTCGTACCATGGTGAATGTGCCGTTGAATGTTGCCAGCGACAATGCAGAACTTCTTCCCCGGTACAGTCTCACCCGGTGGTCACAGAGGCAAGATCCGCTTGCCTTGCAGAATGCCTCAAGATGTTGACCAGTCCCGAAAGCATCAAAGGCCCTCAACCCTTCGCCAATCTTCTCAGAGAACATACCATCGAAGGAATGGTCTCAGGCATCTTGGGGCAGGGACGCGCTGGGGGTGTCGAATGACCCGACCGGCGTAGTCAGCTCACGAATTTCCCACCTCACCAGGAGGAAAGCAAGATGTCAACGGCTCGGTTGCATTTCGGATTTCTGGGTTAGTTAGGGGTTGAGGGCGTAACTTTGCTCGTGAAACCCTGGGCCTTAGGACCAGCGAGCGTCGGCGCGATTGTTTCCATGGGCCCCTGAGAGTCTCTGGCTCTTGAGGAGCGGTTTAGGGTAGGAGCGGTTTAGGGTTCAGGGTTTAGGGTTGCAGATCTTCCAAAAACAAGGACGCTGGATGGTACAATGGTACATGCTGCACTGTGCGAAGTAGCATGAGGCCTAATGTCACAACCGAAATCCTAAACCCCTAAACCCCTAGCCCTAAACCCTAACATGATATGAAGTTGCGATGTCGACTTTCGACCGGCTTGGCCTCGCAGTTTTAGGCTCTTTATGGGGGCAGCTCTGCCCGACGGCTCAGGACTCTGAACTCGTCATGCTGCTAAAGACGATTTTTTGAGGAGGTGTGGTGCCTCAAGAAGGTCAAAGGGGGCACAGAGGCCATCTAGGCTTTAGTGAAACAGAGGTAGTCAGCTCGAGTGTTAGCCATGACGCCGGTTCCCGTCATCTCGCTGCCCAAAGCTACCGAGGTGTCTTGCTCAAGCTTTCCGAGAGTTAGCTTCGAGGGCCCGCCTTGCACCCCAAACGTGATGATTTTACTATATATATATATATGTACCTGTAAAACCCTACACTAAGTTGGTCAAAGGAGTCTCAGGTACCAGGGCCCTGTGAGGAGGCAATTTGTAAGCTGAAGCCATGCAGCATTGCCAAAGAACGTTCCCTAAAGTTGTAATTTTCACCACAAGGCAAGCTTTGTTACATTCTTTCTAAACCTGTGACACCGGGTCCGAAGCGCCGTATCAAGCCTGGATCACTGCCATCATGGTTCTTCCTCTGCTGCTTTGCTTGGATCTCCCAAACTTCAATCACTGACACCCCGAAGCCAAACCCCGAGCGCTCGTGGAGTTTTCTTAAGCACATAGCAGGAAAGCCCTGCTCAAGTAGCTCAAAACTGTATAGAACTTGGCAAGAGCCCGAAGCTTGTGACACCCCTTAGCGATATGACCATGTTCGGCCTAAGCCTGAAGCCTGCTTTAAGTCAGATTCCTTTTTACCCATGGTATCCATCAGCCTCACGAGCCTCCGGACGAAGAGCTTGTCGAGCTTGTCGAGAGAGCCATTAACGGAAGGAATTAAAGTCCGATCTGCAGAGAAAACAGTAACACTCAACTACAAAAGCTCGTCCCACGAGGGAACAAGAAAAGTGAAAGGTTTGGCCCTGAACTTACTGTTAAGGTTGTGGAGCTGTTTCGAGATGCTTAAACACCAACTAAGTATCTGCAAAGGAGCACTGCAATTTCTTGCAGCTGAAACACCCCCGAGACTACCAAACAACGTCAACTTTCACATGGTGTTGTGCAAGGACTTGTAAGAACAGGTCACGGAACCTTCTAAGAACCACACCGAAAGACATGGACCTGTGAATGAACCCAGAGAAAAGCCCATACTTGGCTACAAAATCCCCACACAACACCACCCATGAAGTGCCGTCAGTGGAGTTCTTTGTGCCCCATTTCCATTGGCCATCAGTGATAAACTCACCCATGGCTGTACACAAACCAGATGACACCAGACAGCCCCTGAGGCGAATACCTACACATTCTTGGGGGAGAACTGGGGCACAAAGTACACCAACGAACTGTACTGAAGCCTTAAAGCTGGGATGAAGCGTCCAAATGCGGTTTGCCACATCTGGAGGGACCGAACCACGAGCGACAGCTTTCTGGAAGGCGTCCTCCAGTACTCCAAGCCTGTGAGTGTCGCAACCACCCCTGCAGACTGAAGTCTTACCCCTAGCGCGAGAAACCGGGGAGCAAGAACAACAGCAAGAGGAAATACGCAACTCCTTGAAGGGCTCTGCGCCTTCCTCACAGGCTGGGTCCCAAGACGAACTACTGTGCTCCTTCTTAGCAACCAAAGTGGCCACTAGGTGGGACTGAATGTCAACGGCTCGATGCAAGAATGGTGTCACAAGGTTCAACTTGCTAGCTTTCGCCAATCGATCCGCTGCGGCGTTACCTTCAGTCATCCATTGAGGTTGGCCTTCAAAGTCAGACGAAACATGTGCTTCTCACTTTGACAACCACCACATTGCGACCGTTTTCACAAGTCAGATTCCCGATTGCTGTCAACTTCAGAAAATGTGTCACAATCTTGCGTTGGGCCTTCAAGCCCCGTCCTCAAAGTGCGGCCCTGAAAGAAGACCAGGCCGA